AATCATTTAGAATTTTCCGCAAATTCAAAAATTGTGCATTTCTTGATTCTCATTTTTGAAAATAAGTTGTGCGATTTACTAAGTAGCAGCATGTAGCTGCTTTAGTTAATGGGAGAAAATAAAATTACATATCCAGCAATTTGTTATTTTTCCATTATTACATAAAAAAAAAAGTTAAGATTTAAAAATATATTTCTGAAAAGAAAGATAAAAGTTCCAAAAATTGTGAAGTTTTCTTAATCTCCAGTAAAAAACAACATGATGTTGCTTACATGATGTGCTTTGTAATCAAATAATTTGATTGATGCTAGTAATTCCTGCATGAAGTGATATAATTTTTAACTAGAACTTAGATCATTCAGCAACATCATTCAATTGATAGATATGGAAATGATGTTAAGAAATATCAATGTAGTTTTGGATTTTAGGAAATTTTTATATGAAACCCATCAAAATAAATATAATGATTTAGGTGAGTTTTGTTGGACCTATACAACTATATTTGTGTCATTTTTGTTCTGTTCACATAAGGCATTTCATGATGTTTTACAAAAAATGACGATAAGCCCATTTTTACCTGTACAATCACAGCTGAAGAAAGAAGAAAACTAGTGGTACCCCCTCTGACAAGTCCTGTCTTTACTGAGGACAAACACTGTGCCAGGTTGGGTACACACTAGCAGAGTATATTCTAGTGACTATGAAAGTTAAATACCTTGTAGCTCAGATCCAGCTGAATAAATTAATAGAAATGACTAAATTCACCAACAATTTGCTCAAAATGCATCATTGCAGAACCTAGACAACTGCATGAATTATGTGCCAATTCTATGTCAATCAGATACATTACTTAAACAAGAACTTATGGAGCAGTGAAATATCTTAAGTAGTTCATATACTCACTATTTAATGACAATGTACTTTTCTGCACCTGTACTTTTTTTCCAAGAAAGACAGTACTTTCTTTAGAGGATTTAAAGAAAATACTCAACATGAGCTTGATTCTATACAGTACATACCTTTTTGCAAGAGGATGAGATATGATTGACTACTAGCTTTGTTTCACTTTACAAGTTACTCAAAGAGTATAAAAGAAAAAGAGATGAGAAACAAAACTAATAATCCAGCTAAACAGAAGTTTTGAATTGAAATGTTTTATGCTATAATAAAATCACTTGCTAAAGTTCTTGTACTGTGATAAGAAGCATATATCATCTTTCAAATAAAATTATAATTTTTTAAAAGATTTCAGGTATGCTCAACATTTCAATTTTGAAAGCTGCTTATAAACTCCACATACTTAGCTAAATTCCTGCAATTTTGCTAGGTATTCAAACAAGAAGAATAAAAGCCTACTATTAACTTGTAAAAATATAGAAAAAAATGTTGAGGAATTGCAGTTCTATTTTTTCAATAATAACTACTGCTAATTACATAGTTGAATATTCCTCTTCCAAAACTACACAAGTAAAAAAATTAGTAAATATAAAATACAAGACAGCAGAAACTGTGTGATGTTTCAATCAAGATCACTGAATCCAACATAACACAACCTAGACCTTGAAGACATTATGGGTCAATTTGCTGAACAAGTGTTGAAAGAAAAATTTAGTTTACCAGTAACTGAAATATTATAACATTGTTTGCACATTTTGCCATTATTCTTTACTGGATGGTCTAATTATTCTAATCAAGAATATGTGTACATTAAATAACATATGTATTATTATTATTTATACATTTCTTTGTTGTTTTTTTAAACTTTTGGACAGATACATAATGGGTTATCCAGAGTTTGTCCTCAACCATTACTCTAATAAAGGTCTTCAGCAAGAAATCCATGCAACATTAAGAGCTGGGCAATTAGTGAAATTTTATAATCAATTAACCATTGTGCTCATTAAAATAATTACATTCAATTATTGATCATTCTCATGAGGTTTGGATAGTTGGAATAATCAAAAATAGTCATACCTGGAACTATTATTTTTGAATCTAGTTGGCTATTTTTGTGACATTAACTGCTTAACAGTAATCTGATTAATCAATTATTTTACATCACATTAATTCATGTTTATAAGTAATCATTTATATCAATTAATCACCCAGCTTTACTATATATATATATATATATATATATATATAGGGCTTCTGGACCTAACTATCCCATACTCTGGTCACGAAGAAAAATAATATTGTAAAGAAATATTGTCCATATTCTATTAACCCTCCCTATATGGGTTCAGTTATTTTGACAAACCTTTCAACTATCGTGTAACCAGAAAACCATACATCATGTAACACAGTAAGTGTATCTTCAAGAAATTTGGCATGCCTTGAGTAAGCGTAGTTTGCCTCGGACTCTGACTAGTCTGAGTGCAAAGTGATTTTCATTTCAAAATTAAAAATACTCTTTTCCTTTTAGTTTTCAAATTTAATATGCATAACCTTTACAACCTTCTAAATAAAGTTTTTTTATAGTAAAACCTTTTGTTTTATTTGTATTTTTCTCTGTCCTAGCACTATATACCGGCTCAAATCATTTGTCCGATCTTGTAACCACCACACAACAAAAAAAAAAAGAAAAAAAGAAAGAAGAAATAAATGTAAGTTACCTTTATTTCTTTCTAGAATGATTGCATATTGTTACAGACAATTACACAATATTTATTATTACAGCCAAAGCTATTACAATTTAAACCTCCTGGGTACTTAGATTTAGTTCTACTGTCACTTAGATTAGCATTAAAGTGAGCTATTACAGTAGGGAAACTTTATGTAAACACAGCATTGAAATACCTGGATGTTTTTGTCAAATTAAATCATGCTGCATTCATGAGACATACTCATGCTGTTGAGTATTTTTTATTTAATTTTTTTTTATCTAACCTAATAAGTCTATACTTTTTACATTTTAATAACTTTTACAACAAAAATGAAAAACAAGAAATTTATTACTTACATGTGGGTCTTGAGCTTTTTTGTTTTCAAAGATAAACTAATTTTTTGTTTGTTTGAAGTTAAGCACAAAGCTACACAATGGGCTATCTGTGCTCTGCCCACCATGGGTATCTAAACCCAGTTTCTTGTGTCGTAAGTCCGCAGACATACCGCTGTGCCATTGGGGGGCTCTAATTTTTTGTAGGAATGTTATTAGTACTATACTTAATGCGTATTACAATTTTTAGAGTTATTTTCAAAATTTAATTAAACTTTATTATCATTGTATGTCAATGAAATTAACATTAAAACATAGTTTATAATTCAAATTTTAATATTAAATGTTTTAATTTCTTAATTGGAAAGAAATTATTTAAAAAAATGCCAAATATGCTTTTTGGTGTGTTATATGGCATGTTTTCTTGTTATATTTTATTACACCTACTATACAAGGTTTATAGCAGTTAAATTAAGAACACAGACTTCAGACATTTACAAGCTAGAATATAAAATGAGAACCTCCCACTTTTTTGATTTGCTAGAAAATAAGATATACACATTTTCCTTGAAAAACTTTTAATAATCATTTAAGAGGTTCTAGAGGTTGTGCAAATAAAATTTGATAACTGTAAGGTGAAGATAAGTATTTTTGTACTTAAAATGAAAATCACCTTGTATTCAAACTATTGAGAGTCTGAGTGCAAATAACTACAATAAATAGATAACATATAATTAAAATAATGTCATTTTTTGTTTACAAGATACTTATAATCTTTAACAAAATCTCACCAGTTTTTGTGAGGATACATTATGAAATCTCAGAGTTACCATACGTATTGTTGCACATGTATAATTCCCCTGTCAGGTTCCTGCAAATTGCTGGAGATCGATGCAAAAGGGTTAAGTACATGATTATAACCAATAGAAAGAGCACATTCCAAATTATGTGATAGTTTGACAGTCGTTTGTAACTAGTTTGAATGGGAAACTCGTAATTTGATTGGAATGTTGAAATCATTGCTCTGAACAGAAATGAGATATTTTTAAAACCACATATGACTTAGTTAGAAAGCTAGATAAATTATTGGTTTTATGTATACCAGTAATTTTTTGGTTTTTTAAAATGCATCTTTGAAATCTACAAAAATTAATTTGTCTTCCCCCTCCACTAAAGAGACTAAACAAAGGCTTACGGCAAGGCTTAGCAAATATGATGAGTGAGTAGAAATCAATTTCATAACATTGTAAGAACTAGAAATCGTTTTTCTATATATTTTTTGTTTATTGTGTTATCTTTTAATAAAAATAACTAAAAATGAATTTAAGCATTTACGAGTAAATACTAATAACATATATACATATTCATAAGCATTTACACCTATACTGCTAAATTTTGATCATCCCGGAAAGATAACTAACATCCAAATACCTACCAAGTTTATTGGATAAGCCTGGACTTTGTACAGAGCTATATCATAAACATTTTCTTCCACTCTTACAACTTTAAACAATTCATGTTGCAATCATTGTACTATAAACAAGCCAATAAATCCTCTCCCACTATGTTCTCAGAGTCCTGATTATGATAAACTTTGTGGGAAACTTCTGGTAATTGCACCACACAAGCGTATTTGCTACCAACTGTGTCGTATTATGGTGTCATTGCTCTATGATTGGCAATGATTCTAATTCAGCTGCTAACAGTAAAATAAACATAGGAAGTAGATATGAAAATATTAGTAGTAGATGTTTTCAGGGGAATTACTTTGAAACTTCATTGTCAACACTGAAGAGAATAAAACAGTACTATTCACTTTATTTTGTTTTTCAACCTTTAAAGTTTTACGGTGGTTATAGGGTCAGTCAAACTGATCAACCCAGTATAGAGTTAGGGTAAAAAAAATTATATTTCATCTGTTGAGCTTTTCTGGGAAAAAAAAAAGCTTGATATTTATTTAGGAGATTGTAGAGATTGCTCAGATGAAATCTGAAAATTTTCAAATGAAGAAAAGTGTTCTAAATCTTAACATGAAAACCACCTTGCACTCAGAGCAGTAAAAACTCTGACTCCATATATTCATGAACAAATTTTAGTAAAAATACTTAAATTTTTTTTTTTTTTGTCTATAAAAGACTTGTAAGGTTTGATAAAAGCTTGAATAAAATTTCATGAAGGTATGCAAAACCTGTTCAAAGTTATAGTATGGAAACTCCGATTGTCACTTTGGGGTCATGTGGTTGGTGTTATCCACTGAGTCAGTAGTGAAAGAGTTAACATCCAACAACAACAAAAAAAAAGAATTATTAAAATGTAATAGGCTTTCTAACTAAACCATATGTAGTTAAAATTTCATTACCTGGTTGAGATAATCTTGACAATAGCAAACTATGAAGTTGATACAGAATACAAAACTGATCACGAGAGTGAAATAACCTCATAAGGGAAATAATAAATTACAACTTTCCTTTTCCATTTGTTAAAATAATCTAATAGTAAATGTCAGAGAGAATTATTTACATCTGTTAAAGGCAGCATATGCTAGGATAGGAGTGGCATGCAAGTTCCAGTTTATGAAACACAACTCATTAACTCAAGAAGAACAGATGCTACAAGTTTTCATTGTAGCTTGGGGATATCTAATGTATAAGTATGCAAGCCCTTAAAAACTTAGAAAATAATACAGAAGTACAAAGAAAATCTAAAATGGACAATTTGTAACAAAGTAGTGTTACATGATTCCTAAAAGCGAAGACTGACAATTTATTAAATATTACCTTTTGAAATTAAGGTATTAAAACTTATAAGATATTTAATATTATACTATGAATTATAAACTATGTTTTGATTTTAAGTTTACTGATATAAACTTATAATAAAGTAGTTAAATAAAATTTTCAATATAAATGTAAAAAGGTTGAGACATGCATACTTGATCTACCTTTATCTAATTAGTTAATTTTGTTGGTTAAATGAAACTTTACGTCAAAATATTGAATTTGTTAGATGTTCTAATTTTGTAAAAAAAAAATTTAAAGCAAGTTATTATGACTGAATTATTAATTTCTTTCTCCAAGAGGTATGTCAAACTGAATGTATAATGCAAGATATGAGATTCCAATACCAGACTGGTATTTCCAGATGTGATTACAAGAACAAAAGCTCCACCAGAGTCCTTTACTTGAATCAAACAACAAAATAACAAAATTGATTAACTCACCCAGCAACAACAACATATTTTCCATTTTTCCTGTTTTTTAAACGTTCTAAAACACTGATGGACACTTTTGCTTTTTTTCTCCCATACAATTCATATTCTTGAGTAAAAAGTCCTATTTCAGCTGCTAATTCTTCTATGTCTTTTGGTGATTGGGAACGTGATATTTCAATGTCACTGTGAAGTATACAAAAAATACAATTAACAGCAACTTGCATTCAAATATTTATTATTTTTTCACTGCAGAAATTGCAGGTTAAAAAAAAAAAAAAAAAACTAAAGTGACTTAGTGAAATTG